AGGGAAAGCACACACGCTCCTTTTCTTTTTCACCATGAACATTTTTAAGTGGTCTCTTGCTTTGGCTCCATATGGAATGGGAACCTTTTAAAATCTCATTCAGCTTTGCAAGATGATTAAACTGTTTCCCTTCCTACTGTAGCAAGGACCCAGGCCACAACCTTGAGGGGTGTGTGCTGGCTGAGTCCTCACTACCTGAATAGTTTTGTGGGAAAATATGTTTGTCCCTTGCTCCTCAACTCTGTGGGAGCACATATTTTTGAATCCCTGGAATGAGGGGTGCCATACTGGGGCAGTGGGGGGAGTTGCTCCCTGATAACATTATGGGACTGAGTACATGTTTAGCAAATTTGCAGATGACACCAAGTTGAGTGGAGTTGAAGACACTGGATAGTAGGACTAAGATGTAGAATGACCTGGATAAACTGGAGGAACGGTCCAAAATCAATCGGATGAAATTCAACAAGGACAAAGGAGCTTTGGACTGAATAACTGCATGTACAAATACAGACTGGGGACTGAGTGGCTAGGCTGCAGTACTATTAAGAAGGACCTGGGGGTTACAGTAGACCATAAGCTGAATATGAGCTAAGAGTATCTTGCTGCAAAATCAAACAGCATAGTGGATTGTAGTAACAGGATTGTCTCTTGCAAATCAAGGGAAGTAATTCTCCTACTCTATTCAGCACTAGTGAGGCCTCACATGGAGTACTACTGTGTCCAGTTTTGGGCCCCACACTTCCAGAAAGATGTAGATAGGTTGGAAAGGGTCCAGCACAGATCAACACAAATTATTAGAAGCCTGGGATGCAAAACTTATGAAGAAAATCTGACAGAACTAGGTGTACTTAGTTTCGGGAAGAGAAGAACGCGGGGGAATTGGACAACAGTTTTTAAATACCTGGCCATGGGGTAAAATTTCTTCCTGACCCCAAATATGGTAGTTGGTCTGACACTTAGTAGAGGGGAAAGACCCTCTAGCCAGCAACCTCCGGGTTTAAGTCCCAGTAAGGGCACTGGCACACCCCAGTCAAAATCCCCAGTTTTGGCTGCAGTCAACACCCAATGCCTCTGAGGAGGGCTTAAGCCCCCCACTCCCTCCAATTCACATAGCAGCAAGGGACTGAGGGCAGGGGGAGCAGGATCCCCTCCCAGCCCCACATGGCAATCAGCAAAGCCCAGAAGCATGGGAAATACCCACAGCAGAACACAGGCATAGCTACACCTAGATCTTGGAAGATCTCCAGGCTGGAGCAGGAGCCAGGAAGGAGGTCACTGCGCAAGAGAAACATATTTCAGAGTGGGAATGGAGACAGCCACGTGCAGCAGGGTTGGTCCCCAGGACAGAAGATCCTGGACACTGTACCCTGCACATGCCCAGAGATACAAGTGAATCAGCAGCCTGCAGGGGTGCAATGCTGATAGCTCTGTACAGTCCCTAGTGCTTCCCCATAGGGAGGCTGGCCCCTCTTAAGAGGTTCTGGCTTGTTCATCCAAAGGACAAGCAATCTCAAGGGGGAGGAGGGACAGCAGTTTCTTTCCTGATTGCTTCTTTTAAGAAACCAGTGATTAGAGGAAAGGAGTGAGAGTCAGAATTCCTGGGGTTTTTCCCCAATTTTTCTACTTGCCCTGTGACTTTCGCAAGTCATTTACCTTTCTTTATGCCTTGGTTTCCTATCTGTAAAAGGAGGACAATGATATTTGTCTAGCTGGTTTTTAAGACCTGGCTAGTCAAAGCCTTGGCTGGGATGATATAGTTGGGCCTGGTCCTGCTTTGAGCAGAGGGTTGTACTAGATGACCTCCTGAGGTCCCTTCCAATCCCAATGTTTCTCATTCTATATTAACCTATCTCCAAAGGGGGCAGGGAGGCATCAAGTACTGACTATGTGTAAACACTATCCTCTTGAAGTCCTGGGGTAGGGGAGCAGTGTGCTTAAACAGTGCAAACTATTAACTCAGGCAGACTGTGAAAGTCATACATGGATTTATGTGTCCTTTTGGTAGCCAGAGAGTTCCCATTTGGAGTTGTTTTCAGGGACAAATTGTTGTCATCTCAGGGTCCCCAGCACCAAAGTTAAGCATGCAAAAATGAACAAGCATCCAAGCAAAAGCAAGGGTAACCACAGAGACTTTTCAGCTGCAAATGTGAATAGCAGTGTATGCAATTGCAAGTGTGACCACAGAGGATTTCCACTTGCACAATGGGTTGTGTGTGCATATGCAAATTAAATGATAGTGAATTTTCAATCAAACTCTCTCTTCTGTGCTTTGCACTCACAATTGCACATTGCAGGCACAAATCCAAGGGTGCATGGTTTTGAATATCTATTGTATATTGTTGGTATACTGAGGCATACATACCTGGTAGCCTCCTGCCCCATCCCTGCAGTGTTACAGAGAAGCAACAGGATTCTCCCGCCTCCACCATGGTGCAAGAACTCAGAGGACATGGCACCAGTATGGGGCAATCGCTGGCCTTCGAGTTCAGATGAGTTAGGGGAAGATGGGAGGCTGAGGGGGCAGCCTGCAAAGGAGACACAGAAGAGCAAGACAGCAATGAATCAAGGCTCCTGCGCTGTGTGCTTTGGAGGATCTAGTTTTGAAGCACAGAGCAGGCAGCTACTGGCTTGTTATCCCACAGCAGGAGCTCCTGCTAGAAAGCTAGCATCTGAGGAACAAGTGTGTACTATTTTGTGCAGGCAGTGGCTGCTACCTCTGCCACTGCCAGGTGTGCATGACCAGGGGAGTGAGTTACCAGGAGAAGGCTGCTTAGGTGCTAAAGCTCCCCTTCTCCTCCCCAATCTGTAACAGCCAAGGTGGTGCCATTACTCAGCCTAGAGGCATGACAACTTTACTCACCCAGTGACTCCTGCTGCATAACAGTGTGTTCCTGTAATGCTGTGGGCAGGAGGGAGCATGATGCTCCAGTGCTGAGTATCAATCTGCAGACTGCCCATTGCCAGGCTGCCTGGTGAGAAGGGCACTTATCAGCCCAGTGAACCAGGCTGTCTGTTCTCCTCAAGCAGACGGATCTTCCCAAGCTGGGCTGGGCGATTAATCAAGTGGTGCCATTTGCTGTGAGGCTGTGAGCAGGGCTTTCCGCATGCCGCGAACTCCGACTCACAGCTACTTACATTCTGTCTCCTCTGATGTTTTTCAATTAAGAGACTCTTGTTTAGCCTTGAGAGGTAATTAATCACTGCCAGAGCTCCTCTCCCTGCCTTTCTCCACACTGTAATTCTCCCAGAAATATGTCAGTGGAGGCTGCTGAGACAGATTTCATCCTGGCCTAAGGTTCCACTCCACCTCCACCAGCAAACAATAACACGGCATCAGAAATGCAAGGGTAAAGCCATGAAATATTATCAGAGAGCATGGAATTTCCCCCATACCAAATTTATCTCCTTCCCACGCTCTTTGTAATCTCGTTCTTCTTGCCTGAACTCGTAACTTTGTTTGTTCTCGTCCCTGCAGAGCAACTAGACCAAGACTGTTCCTTCCCCATATGGGTAATAAGAGTTATGTTTCTACCACTGCTGTGCCCAGCCCACAGTGACCTAACCAAACAAGAAAAAAATGGCACATTACCAGCATGTTTTCCTGGCTCATGCTTCATTTAGCTCACCTTAGAGTTTCTGAAAACAGGAAGCAGTGTTGACACTGGATCTGGGCTCTTGCCTGTTGCACTGACCTTGGCTCTTGGCTGTGGCCTTTTCCTTCTGCATTTATTATCATGCTGCCTTCCACCATCTTCTGAACTGGTGGAAAGGCTGAGCTGGCAGAGGACCCTGGGCATCTTCCACAAACTCCATGCTCAAGATGCAGCAGTCCCTGCCCCTCCCACTGTGAGAATCTTTAGCAGGCTGCTCTCCTTCCCACAACTTAGAAACCTCAGTGGATGCTGAACTGGGGGGGAAAAGTAGGACAGGGTGGCACCTTCTGCCTGACTTCTAACACAGCTACCTCTGAACGGCAGGGAGAGGAAGGAGTCACATGTTTAGCTAAGTGGTTCATCCCACTGCTTTGCACCACCGTGTGGATGGCAGTCAGCTCTCTTCCACATGGGCACAGAGCATGGGCTTATGCAGCTCATCAAGCTAGGTGAGCAGGAGCAGCCACAACAGGGCCATACAATAAAACCCCTGGTGGCTGGTCACCAGTGTCAACGCTAGTTGACCTGAACCAAAACCTCCACGTCCTTCCCAGCCTAGTCCATGTCAATGCTCTCCCCAAACCCAGGAGAGAGTCCGTTGTTAGCAGATTGATAGTCTAACTGGGAACAAGCAGCATAAGAAATTTGGCTCCTGGGGCATTTCCAGACCAATCCTATAGCTCCTACAGGTTTGCAGAAACATTTACACTTGTCTGAATACAGTGTCAGAGGTGGAACTGCAGCAGGATGGGCACACTCATGGTAGCTTCGCATCCCACGGGCCCTGGTACTGACACTGAAGTTGCAGCACCACGGGATTCTGCCTGTGCTATAACAAGCCCACCCTGTGCTGAAACCCAGGCTGCACCTTCACTCTTGGCCTTCACCAGCTAGATTAAAGCTAACTTCTCTATGTCTGCCAGTGCTGTGACCTCACCTCTGACAGACGTGTGAACATACCCAGCAAAGGACTGTGAAGTTTGTTCCATCCAACCATTTAAAAATACTTGCAAAGGGCAACAGGGACTGTACCTGGCAAACCAGGGGTTAACTCCATCTCAGCTTCCCAGGAACCAGGATGTAAAGTCTGGTCTACACACACTGTGGTTAACCACCCCCTCCTAGGCCTATACGAGGGGTGCAGCTTGCACAGATAAGGAGCAGGTGGCATTCAAAGAGCAGGGATAAATGACATGGGCCAGAACACAGCACCTCCCACTGGGCTGTATACCACTAAGTTTACAAAAGACCCAACCTGCAGCTAGTGCACCAGTCTCCTCTGAACAAATGGCCACAAGCTGGCTTGGCCCGCAGAAGGTGAATCCTAACCACAGTTGGAAAGTTAGGTAGAAGTGACCCAGCCAACTCCATCACAGTGTATAGCTGCATGGGTGGGGGGAGCCTGGTCAGTCAGCACCAACAGGAAAGATGGGAGGGGTCAGGTCTTGGGATATCTTGGTGCATTAGGCATTAGCAACAGGGTAGGACTGGTGGGGAACTCCCAGGAAGGCTGGGCAGGGATGGGGAACATGCCCACTGTCCCTGCCTGAGTCCGTGCAGCCTGGCTGGAGTGGGGCAGGAGTGGCTCTGGAGCTCCCTCTCACCCCCTGCATAGCTGGAGACAGCAGCAGTGGTGGTGGTGGGAAAAGAGAGGGGAGGTGCCACTAAGCGTGGAGTAGAAGAGAGGGGCTGCTGTAAAAGGGTGGACTTCTTACCTGCTTCAGGGACTTAAAAAGTCCCCAAGTGCTGCTCTTGCAGCGTGGTCTGAAAGGAGGGCGCGACTGCACCTCTGGATCCACCCCGAGGGAGGCTACGGTGATGGGGAGGGCTCTGGCAAAACAGAGGCGGCACAGGAGCATGTGTGCATTTGGGGGGTGGCTCACTGTGCCACTGGAGCCATCCTCTTTTTGGCGAGATAGAAAAGCAAGGTTGGTAAAGCTCCCCTGGCACCTTCCACACCACAAAGACAAACCCAACACTCTTCCCTCTCCTAGCCTGCCCAAGGCCATACAGAGAGCCAGGAACTGGAGTCAAGTTGTCCTGACTTCTGGCTGGTACCGTGGGCCATGCCTCTTCTGCCATCTCTTGTCATAAAGAGGCAGAGAAACCGAGGGGGCTGCTGAGCACCTCCCCTGAGCACCCCACAGGAGGAGGAACCAAAAGGGGGACAGACCAGCCCAGACTGGACAAAGGAGAAATCCCATCTAACCAAGGATCAATATGAAGATGAAGATATAAATAATAAGAAGGCAGCTGCCAGAGGTCACAGCCTCAAAGCACCATAGAAAAATCAATGGGCAAATGGGAGTGGGGCTCAGACATGAGGCAAGATAAACTGTTCATGGGAAGATGGTGACTGGCTTTTCCTCCAAAGCCTTTTCTTAATGCCTGATTAGATCTCTCCTCACTGCTGCGGTGATCCCAGTCAACAGGCTATGTGCACCAGGTCACCTGCTGGAGAGGATGATGGGTGTGTGGGATGCCAAGTATAAGGACACATTCACAGTTCACATGTCCAACTGCTTTCCCACTGAAACCTGTTCGGGCCACCAGGAGACTGGCACCTGGCCCCATGGGTGGGATGCTTTCCAAACACAGGCAGCTACTCCCCTAGTTTCTACGTATGGTTCATCGCTGGAAGCTTTGTGTTTAAAGAACCTGCTGAATTCCAGAGAGGTATCACGTTCCCTCTGAGAACTGAGGGCTTGAAATTAAAGGCATGTTTAAATGATGGCCTTGGGGATTCAACACTCTCTTTTTAATTGTCTGCCGCTCTGCCACTTTGTAAACCAGCCCACTGGGGCACCATTAAATGTGACACTGTGCAGCTGGGAAGAGACCCAGCCAGAGCAAGGAGCCTGCACCCAACGAGAGAAAGCTGCAGAAGGAGCGCTCAGCCCACATGGCAGAACAGCTCAGCTTTAGCAATGTAAAGTGGCACACTTTCTAGAACAGCTTGCAGAAAGTTCATATGTGGTTCATAGATGGCACCAGCACGGTGCACACCTGAGTTGTAAGTGCTGAGGATGGTTCTAAGTAAGGGACTGAGAAGTAATTAACTGCTTATTGAAACATCTATCAATAATTGATGCATCCTATATATTATGTATAGATAAAATGTACTTATATTTATTTTAAATGTATAAATATGAAAACAATATAAAGTGGGCCCCTGATTTTGATCCTCTTGGTTCAATGTAGAATACAGCCAGTGCTGGAGAGGGAATTATTCATTAGTATAGATCTGAGAAGCTACAGGATGCCCTTTTACCAGGCCTGGTGCAAACACACAACACAAAGTCCCTTCTGTATAAAATGGGAGCCAGCAAATGAGTAGACATCCATGGGGGAGAACTAGGCAGCAGTGGGGTACTGCTGCATACTGGGATAAGTAATACCAAGCCCTCTAAGGTCCTGCCCCAGGGGCCAGATACAAAACCAAATGGAGTTAGTGAAAAGGTTCCTCTTGCCTCCAGTGAGCTTTGGCATGGGTCCTGTCTGCACAAGAATACATATAATGCTTAGAATTGTTTAAATATGATTTCAATCTGATTTAACAGACATACAAGCCTGTCAAACTGATTTAAAGTTTCCTGGAATGGTTCAAGTGTATGTGGAGAATCCAGTACTGTTTTGAACTAGTTCACTGTGAGCCAGTTCTGTGTTATGTGTAGACACCAAGCTCTCTATGAGACAAGTCTGGTTGGTCCTCCATGTATCCCACGCTGCATTGCTCCTTACCTCAACAAGTCACTCTGCAGACAGAGCTCTATTGCCCCTTTTTTTCTGTTTTGTTAGCACTTTGTATCAGTGAGCTTCCTTGAACAGCTTAGCTTGTTCAATAAAAGCTTTCTTTTCAACAACCCCAGCCT